ACATTGGACTGGCCTCATTGCCTAGCACCTAAGGTTTTTGATGTCAATGTTAGGGAGCTAAATTGAGTATTTGATCTAAATGGTGTGCTAATCAGAACAGTTTGTTGTCTTTAAAAGTGCCTTTTATGGAAGGGGTGAGACTAGTGCTCTCCTGCCCCCTCCTCCCCCCCAATTATTGGCTCAGCATATAGCAGCCAGTCTTGAGGTAAGCATAGATTCATTTAGAGCAGATGTCATTCTTCTCTCCCTCCCTCCCTCCCTCCCTCCCTCCCTCCCTCCCTCCCTCCCTCCTTCCCTCCCTCCCTCCCTCCCTCTTTCCTTCCTTCCTTCCTCCCTCCCTCCCTCCCTCCTTCCTTCCTTCCTTCCTTTGGACAGACCTATCCAAATCCATCAACTAGCCCTCCCCTTTAGATCCCAGGGGGCTCCTTTAGATCCCAGGGTTTGGATCCCTCCCTAGTAGGGGAGAAAATGTTATAGGAAGGCAGGGGGCTGAGGAAGCCTGGAAAGAAGAGTATGTGGTCCTATTCACCTTTCAATAGTCTCTTCTCCAACACTCCTTTCTTTTTTAAAATTAGTATTTTCTTTGTCTTAAGAACACCTATCATTTCTACCCTCAAGAATCCCAAATGCAAAATCTATGCCAAATGTAGAATCCAGACCTGTTTTATTTTTATGAAGATGACCACCTTTCTCTATTTTCTGAATTACCATGAGAGAGGAAGACAGAGAGAGAGAGAGAGAGAGAGAGAGAGAGAGAGAGAGAGAGAGAGAGAGAGAGAGAAAGATGATGAATAGGGGGGAATGATTATATTTTTAACCATTCATTCAGTCATTCACTTATTTATCTTTACGTCTATAAAGGTATTTCCCCCTAAAGGCAGACAGTGAATATTTAATTTTAATCCTGTAGTTTCACTGGAGACAAGCCTTTTAACCCTTCATTCTCCAGCTCAGCCTGAGTCGGGCAGCGGCTCTCATCTGCACAAGGGCTGGGACTGTATTAAGTCTCCCTCTTGGAGCTGTTTGTTGACCACATTCACGTTCAGAGCCCTGGAGCTAAAAGCACTTTACACCATAAAATAAAAGCACTGTCTTTTTTTCTAAAAGGTTACGTCTGGAGGCCACTCGGCTCATACTTCATACCGAAAACTACTGAAAGGACTATGAAATCCTCTATGATTTACACTCTCTCACTACATTAGGGTATAGATCTACTCAACTCTAAAAATACGGTGGGTTTCTAACCGACGTGAATATATGTGCATTATTTCAGAAAGTCTGTTAGAAAACTTGTCAACACATTATAAAGCATAAACCAGGACTTGGCTATTAAGTACGGAGATCAGAGGCAGAATATATACTGCAGGAAGTCCTGGGGAATCTCCACCGCGCAAGATGAAAGGGAGGAGGAGGGGCGGAGAGGGGTCCCTCAAGCTTCTCACCCAAGGTTTGGGAATGTGCCCACTGAACAGTGGTCCGCTCAATGGCATAAGCAAAGGTTCTGCAGTCTCAAGTAAAGTTAACTGAACGGTCAGAAAAGAATTGTAACATTGTCATAATTTATGACTTTCTAAAGGCCACTTTTGGAAAGGTAAATATACTTATTGTATATCCAATGAGCGTGTTTAAAGTAACCTTTTAACCCCCTCCCCAAACCACCTGCATCATTCATCAATAATTATGCAATATTTTTAAACCTCTTTAAAAAAAACTCATTTTTATTTCTTTTAACACACGTACAAATCCTCCCCTCCCCCACTTTTGGGCGCTTTATCGAAGATCCAGCCGTAGACGAGGGAGGGGGGTATCACCCGCAGGGGGCAAGCACCAAACATGGGCAAGCAGACGAGTGTGTGTGTGTGTGTGTGTGTGTGTGTGTGTGTGTGTGTTGGGGGGGGCAGTGGCGGTCCGGGGAGTCGGGGTCTGCACCCAGGAGGATCAAATGCCCAAACACAGCTCTGCTTCTCCAGACTGGGTGAGCTCAGGCTGGGGGAGGGGTGGCGCGGAGGGCAGTTCCTATTTCACTCTGGGCATTTTATGACGGTGAAGTGAAATATATGTTAATGGTGGAAACGTCGCTGCTTACCTCTTCGCTGGCACCCAGGGAAAGCAGCTGCAAAACTGGGTTTTTAATGTATGTTTTTAAGATGTGGTTTCCGATGGACCCCCCCTGACATCTGAAACAAGTGCAATAAGAGAGCAGACCTATTTGTAACTAAGTGCTTAATTTCCTATGATTTTTTAAAAAAGAAAATCAATAAAATGTTGCCAGTTATTTATTGAAAATAACCACAGACAGCGGCCCTGCTAGGTTGCCGGTTTTAGAGAGCACACGATTGTGTAATGAATTGTAATTCAGAAGACTGTTAAATGTGAGCCACAGAACCTTTCAGAGGCAATAAAGTCATTACTTTTTTACACTACAGGCAAGCCTGAAAAGCTTCAACTCACCATTCTGTATAAATCAGACATACCTATTTTCAGAACACACACTCTCCTATTTAAACATCTTCTTTCTATATGGACTTTTATGGATAGATGGGAAAATATTTAAATTCGAAAAGCTTGGTTCAGAAAGAATCACAATGACTCGAAGGGGCTTTCGTCTTATTTATTTATTTTTCAAAGACCTCCCAGTTGCACTTTCTACTTCCCACTCCTCACCTGTCTATGGTGTTCTCCTCCATGCCCGCTCCCCCACCACCTCCACGGAAATGACAGACTTTTGGAGGCAACAAGGCTAGTGTAGCAAGACAAACAGCGAGAGTCGTCGACCTGCTTAAAAAAAAAAAACTCAGGAGAAAGGGGAAATGGTGTAACGCACAAACTGCTGAGTTTTGCTAGCAAGGGAATTTTGTTGCTTCTAAAACTAGATTTGAAGTCTTTACCCCCCTTACCCCCCCTCACTTGGAGGGAAACAATAACGACAAACTACAGTTACCCAAATTCAGACCAGTCCACGTCTGTCCTACTGCTGGGCACCAAACCTCTCCTTCCTTACCGGGGGCCCGCCGATTTGCCCAGCTCGGCAAGCCAGTCATTTTCTAATAGGTTCGAAACTTTACTCAGACAACACTGGACCAGAGCTGCTTGCCCGCGGCTGGATGGTGGGAATGCGCTTCCCCCTCAGCCTGGGCAGGCCCTGGGGCGCTCGCTCTAACAATCTAAAGCCGCCCCCCCACCCCCCACCCCGCCGGGTGGTTACAGTATCCCAAACCTGGTCCCTTAGGCAGAGGGGTGGGAGAAGGCATTTGGGAATGTTGGAGTAGCTTGGAGGAGAGAGAGCTGGAGGCTCCTGGCTCTGCAGACACACTCACACACGTCCACCTGCAGCTCGGAGTGTCGTGGGGGGCTGCGTCCTGACGCCCCTCCCCCAACCCCCGCGGGCCCCTCTGCGACTCGGCTGGACTCCGGCCGCGCTCTTCTTCCCTCGGCCCTTCTGGATCGGGCAGAGCCGAGCGCTCTCGGTGGCGGCGACGACGGAGGCTGTGGGGTGGCGCAGGCAGGCAGGGAGGCGTGAGACGCTGGGGGACTTTACAGGCACGTTTCTGAATAAACTTTCCAATCGCAGGGGGTGCTGTTGCTGTACATTTTACGTAAAACTGAAAGTATCCCACGCCAGAGTGAAGCCCGCTTTTTGACAGCGGCGGTGGGGTGTGCGTGTGCGTGCGAGTGTGTGTGTGCGAGTGCGTGCGTGTGTGTGTGTGTGTGTGAGTGCGCGCGCGCGCGTATGTGCATTAAAGTGACAGGGATTTCTTTCCAACAGGTCATCCCTAATTGCCCCAGAACGTCTGCAGAGACCAGAGGGGCCCTTGGGTTTCCCGGCTTGCGCATGGGCCCGGGGCGCCGGGTGAGCGCGGCGTTCAGCCGGGGCGGTCAGCCCATCAACGTGGCTTCCCAGCCGCTCCTGCAAGCCAGCCACTCACTCATTCCCCATTTTCTTTCGCCGGGTAACAGCACAGGAGTAGTTGTGCTCCGCCCGTAAGAAACACTTTCTTTCCCTTCCTCAGTGCGTTACAGTTGCTCCGGAGTGGGAGTGGGTGTGTCCTTCCCTGGGACCCGCTTGGGGGACCTCCCGCCGCGCGGGCAGCACGTTTCCAGGGGCTGGAACTCCTGGGACTGCCCAGGCTTTGTCCTCTGGCCCGCGGCCGCAGCAGAGGTGAACGCCTCGGCGCCTCCCTCGCCCCGGGTTGGCCCGCGCTCCCCCCTGGGGGCCGGAATGTGTCCGGAGTCTCGCTCCTGGTTCTTTATTCCTTGCTTCAGTCTTTGCTTGACCCCGTGGACCCTAGTCTCCCGCGCTTCCGATCGCTCTCAGTCTCAATCGCTTGGCCCGGTGCTTATCTCCTCGCCCCCCTCCGGGTTCGTCCTTAGGGGTCGCCTCCCAGCCCTCCCGCCCCGGCCTGCCCTGACTCCCTCGCTCTCGTCCCTTCCCTGATACACTCTGGAGTTCACAGAGACCCGGACACTGCCCTTCCGGACCCTTCAACCTTGCAAAGTTGGGCCGGACTCCGCTTACCGCGCGCTCCCTCCCGCCACCCCGCGTCCGCTGCGGAGCTGTAACTTGGAGGCTCAGCTCTCAACTTCGGGTGATTTTTCTTGGCTATCCGCTCCTCCGGCAAAGTTTCCCTAGCAGAGCCACGGGCTCGGGGCTTTCGCTTCGGCCCCGGACATCCGCACGCGGGGAGCGAGCGCGGCGGCGGTGGCGGGGAGGGGAAGTGGGTGTGCGCACGGAGGAGGGTGTCCGGGAGCAACTCTACCTGGCGTCCCTCCTCCCGCGCTTCCCCGGCCCCGGGCTGCATCCTCCTCGGGTACTCTTGCGGCTGCGACTGCTTCTTCTTCTTTTTTAAAATAACCTTTCATTTTTTGAGTCCGCGTGCGGGGGGGGGGGGGGGAGTAGCAAGGCGCACGTCTTGCCCCCCCCCCCCCCCGCCGCCCCTTTCTTCTTTCGTGGCCAAGCCGCCGCCTCCGCGCTCGCTGCGGCCACTGGTGAGCCCGCGGCCCCAGCGCCCCCTCCCATCCGCCGCCCCTCCCCCGGGGGCCGCGTCTGGCGTCTGCTGAGCCCCCCGCCCGCACCTCCCCCGCCCCGCACTGGCCATTGGCTTGTCCTGGTCTCTTTTTCATGTCCAGCCCCTGATGTGTGTCCATTGGTGTGAGCTTCCCCTTCCCTCCTCCCCTTCTCTCCTGCTCGCCCTGCCCATGTTTTGTGTGTCTCTGTCCATCCAGACTCCTGACGTTCAAGTTCGCAGGGACGTCACGTCCGCACTTGAACTTGCAGCTCAGGGGGGCTTTTGCCATTTTTTTCATCTCTCTCTCTCTCCCTCTATCTCTCTGCTCTCTCTCTCTCTCTCTCTTTTTTTTTGCTTAAAAAAAAAAGCCATGACGGCTCTCCCACAATTCATCTTCCCTGCGCCATCTTTGTATTATTTCTAATTTATTTTGGATGTCAAAAGGCACTGATGAAGATATTTTCTCTGGAGTCTCCTTCTTTCTAACCCGGCTCTCCCGATGTGAACCGAGCCGTCGTCCGCCCGCCGCCGCCGCCGCCGCCGCCGCCCGCCCCGCAGCCCACCATGTCTCGCCGCAAGCAAGGCAAACCCCAGCACTTAAGCAAACGGGAATTCTCGCGTAAGTAACCCAATAATAGTAATAATAATTATTAATAATCACGAGAGCGCGCAGGACAAGAAGCTAGAGCGAGGGGGAGAGAGGGGTGTGTGCGTGCATCTAATTTTTTTCCACGAGAAAAATCTCCTATAGTTGGGCTAAAAAAAAAAAAATTAAAGGGGGAGGGAAAAAAAAGCCCTCATACCATCCCAAACCATAACGCTGTGTACACTTTTGGGGATAGCACAGACCTTTTAATTTAATTTAATTAAAAAAAAACGTGTCTCCTCCTCTTTCCTGCTTTCCGCTGTCTTATTTCGCCTTTGGAAAAGGACTGCTATGATTTCTCCTTCAGTTTTGCAAAAATAATGAACAATGCTAAGGATGAGTACAACTCTTGCAAACCTAGAGGAAGGAGCTGGAGGGAGCGAAAGGGGGTTGTTTGCACTCACCGTAGGAAAATGGAGTGGGGTGGGGGAGGGAGTTCAAACCTAAAGAAAAAAAAAATCCCGGGGAGAAAAAGAAGTGAGACTGGCCCTCGGACACCCGCGCGCTCACGGTCAAGTGTGCATGGGAGCAAAGTAGTCATCTCCACAATAGTGAGAAAGTGGGACCATGGGGGGGCCCCCGGCGTTCGGGACTCAGCCGAGTCTGGAAAGGGGCCGCGGCTGCAGGGAGAGCCAGGCGGCGGGGAAGGACCGGAGGCGCGGCCGGCTCTGCTGCCTTTTGTTCCGGCCCGAGGTGGGTGTTTGTCCCGTGGCCTTTTGTGCCGGCTCCTCGCGTTTGCCCTCCCGCGCCGCCTTCGAAGGGCAGGAGGAACGGCCAGGGGCCAGCGGGAGAGGGAAGGGAGGGCGCCCGAACTGCGATCGCTGGATTTGCCCTGCCCGCCCCTCCCGGCTGAACCTTAGTGGCGGCGAGAAGACATGCAAAATGAAAAGAAATAAAAATAAAATAAAAGAGACATGAAAAAGAGAAAACCTCCTGCCTAAACAGAAGCAAGCGTTCCGCCGGCGATTTTTTTTTTTTTTGCAACGGTCTTCTCTTTACACTCCCCGCCCCCCCCCCCGCAAAAATCTTATGATCCCTAATTGAAGGGGGGTAAAAATTTACCCCCTTCCCCAAAATCCTTTTAGTTGCAAACTTAGAGCGCCAGCGACACGGAGAGGGAGCGAGGAACTCCCTCCTCTTACTATTTTTTGGAAGATTTTCAAAAAAAGTGGAAGTGGATTTTGATTGGGAAAAATCTCGTGTCTGAATGTTTACAAGCACCGCGTGTGCGGGAGCCTCCTGCCAACAAACAGACAGAGGACCGAGCGCAGCGCGGCAGCCCAGAAGCGGGTGGCGGCGGCGGCTGGGCCTCGCCGGGCCTCACCGCGCCCCCGCCCCGCCCGCGATCGCCCACCCGGCGCCCGCCGCCCGCCCGCCCGCACAGCGGCAGGCCGCGCTGCGACTCCGCGCCAGCCGGGTCCAAGGTCTCGCCTCGCCCCCAGCACAATGCGCAGACCGCCTCCCGGCCAGATCGACTGCAAAATCGGCCGGGGAAAAACTTGACTTTCCAAAGCATCATCATCATCATCATTATTATTATTTTTAAATGTTGCGAAGCTACTGGAAAAGCGCGTTTTCTGTTCTCTCCTCGGCCCCTCCCCCGCCCCAATTCTTGTCCACAGTACAGGACAGAGGGGAGGTCACCACGTGCTTTCCCTAACTGCCCCCAACTCCTCCCCCCACCCCACCTTTGGGTCTGGCTACTAATTCCTGGCGCTCCAGTGAGGCCCGGCCAGGTGGGAGTGACGGTGGGGGCGGGGTGGACAGGAGAGACATATGTTCAAATGTGCGTTTTGGAATGCTTGACCCAGGAACACTGCGCACTTCACCTTTGAGTTCTTACCCTCGGTTCCGGACCGGGGTCGGTGGATACTTGCATGTGTGGGGATGTGAAGGAGGGGGTTAAACGGTCCTTCTGAGTCTATGTACAGAACTGTCTCAAGTCTAATCAAACACGCCTGCAAGAGCGTGGGTACTTACTAAAGTTTGATAGCAGGAAAAAAAGGCGTGAGAAGGCCCACAATCATTCCCCTTTTCATACTTGACTAATTTTAATTTTTGGTGCCGGTTTAAAGGAAGATATATATATATATCTCATATATATATATATATATATATATATATATATATGTATATCTCCAGGTCTCCAGTTCTGTACTTTTTAAGGGAGGTGCGCATAGGTTTTGAATTTTTCACTGGGCTCTGGAACTTGTCATATACTTCGGAAGCTCCCCCGCCCCGGCACGTTGCGGGGCCCTCCCTCTCCCCACCCCCGCGCATCCCTCCCTCACCACTCTCCCCCGCCCCCTACTCCCCCGGCAGCGCCGGATACGCAGCAGACACGGCGCGCAGCGGTGTGAAGTTACAACCCGGCCAGGTACCGGCGGGAAGGAAGGGCAGTGTTCGCAGGACTCGGGAAAGGCTGGCCCTTTTGCGCAAGGATGCGCTGGGGGGCTCAGAAAACGGACTGGGGCTTGCTGTCGGGCTGCCCGCCCCAAACCCCCATCCCGGGCTCATCTCGGGACAGTGCAGGCTGGGCGAGTTAGTCCCTGTCTTCCCCAACCCCAAGGAGAAGTTTTAGATTATAGGACCAATTTGGAAGGGCTGCTGCTTCTTTTCTGGGTGTTAGAGGGGGGCGGGAACCCTCCAGTCCGCAGGACCCCCTCTCCCCCCCATCCACCGCTCTTGGGCTGAATGAACCATTCGGTCGCTAGGAGGCAGAACAAGATCAAAAAAGCTCAGCGAACTTGAACCTGTACCAGCGCCTCCCCCAACCCCCTGTTCGGCGTTTCTCAGCCGGGGAGGGACCAGCTTTGCGAGGGTGGGGGTGGGGGAAACGGACGGTTAGGCAGAATTCCTTTTCTCCCCCCACCCCCTTCACCCCTTAAGTCTTTGTTCTTCCTTTTGACTTTAAAAATGCTTCTGGCCTGGGCTTCAGAGACGAGCCCGTGCGCGCGGCCGACACCCCCGCATGCCCAGCACCTAGCGGGGTGCAGTTTTCTCTTTCTCTCGGGGAGGGGTTTTTTTCCTTTTCTTTTCTTCTTTTTTGTTTGTTTTTTTTTGGTAAGAAGGAAAGGGGAGTGAGCTACGGGGCGAGGCCAAAGGGCAAGATGTGGCTAGTTTGCACTTCGTGTTGAGGTTCACTTCTTCCACCTCCTTATCCCCTGCGCTAAGAACTGACCCCGGCGGCAGCGGCGGGCTTGCTTGCGGGGCAGATCTGCAGTCCAGCCCCCCTGCCCCACCCCCCACCCCACCTCCTGCAGCTCTCGCCTTGGAGCCCGAAATCACAACAATAGTAATAGTTATCATCATAATGATGCGGGCAAGCAGCGTCATTAATAATGAATAACCGCAGCCGCCGCCGCCTCGCTGCGCACACCGGTCCCGGGAATTGCGGGAGAAATGCATTTACAGAGATTAACACTCCCCCCACCCCCAAAGTAAAAAGTGTGAGCTTGTGGACACAACGAATTTCAGGACCCGCGCTCGAGGTGCGCGGGGTGATTAACGAGACGGAATCAGGCTAACCGGCCGGGTTTCCCAAACCTCACTCCTTCTTCAACTGCCGGGCCCTAGGAACCGTGGTCACCCGCTGCGGGGCTGGATCGGCGCTGGAGCGACAGTCGGGGGTCCCTAGCCGCCCGCTACCGGCAGATCGCCGACCCTGGGTCTCCCCCAGCTCGGCCGCCGCCGTTGCACGTGTTCACCGCGAACACTGCCCGAGCCGGCGGCCAGCAAGCTGCGCGCTTTGTGCCCCAGAGTCCCCGCGCCCAACTTCACTTCTACTCGTTACGCCCCCGCCGGTCCCCCTGCCCCGGACCTGTCGCCCTTGCTTTCTCTTTTGTTGCTTTACTTTTTCCTTTCTGCATTTCACCAGCGGTTGGCTTCCTTGCTCTGTTAAGACAATCAAAGAGAAGAACTTGGAAAGCAAACTTGAAGGCTTAGCCCCCCCTCTCCCCCTCCCCTAAGCAGTCCTCGTTTCCCTTCTCTACATTTCTTCTAAGTGTTAGCCCCCCCCCGCTCCCCCCTCCCCCCCCCCCCACCCCGGCTTCACACACACCCTTTCTTTCTTGTTGTTGTAAATTTATTCCTCCGCAATTGCAGAGAGAGGAAAGGGACCTTAGTCTGCCGCTGGGCTATTGAGACATTACATTCTGTCTTGCTGTTTGAACGCAGAAACATTTTATTTCAATTTCTTTCTCCCCTTACAGAAAATCCGCGGCTAATTATTACGATTATTTGCCCACTCCCTTCCACTTTAATTCTGGACTCCTATCTTTGTAGCTGAGACTGGAGTTTAGAAACGATGGTATTGTGGGGGTGAAGAAGGATAGAGTTGAATTGAGGGAGGGGGGTAAAATGGCTGAGGTTAGGAATGTTTTTAGGGAAAAAGGAATTTGCATTAAAATACAGAGAAATTATCAGATGCCCAGAAAGGAAATGTTGATTGCCTCTGAGAAAAGATGTCAATGCAAATCAGACTACACCAAGAGAATTGTATTTTCATATTTTCTTTGTGCCCCATTTCCTCTGATTTTTAATAATACAGCAGTAATAATAAGAACACTTTGGTATTTCTCTGAACATCTCTAGCTAAATGTTTGCAAGGAGCCCTATGTTAAGCGTATTTCATACATTAGGATATAATTCTTGTTAATTAGCAATAATTTACGTTAAGAGCATAGAAAATGTTGAGGTTACAGGTTTTATATCTGTACATTTGATCATCTTGTTATTTTCAAGAACTTTGCCTCCTATAAAATTAATTAGGTGAAATGTGGAGGTGTAATCAGCAACCTCTGAATTACCACTTCATTTCCTGGTTTTGATTGTAAGTCAGTTCAGTCACTACATTTAGAAGACTTTAACCAAGTCTGTTTTGTACTGCATTACCTTTAACTGTTTGGTACCTAGAAGAATATTTCCTTTTGCTCCTAAATAATATTTTTATTTTTATGAATGTTTTAGGCCTTGGGAATAAGAAGCCAATCTTAGCAGTGGGATTAAAATATACTTTGCCCCCCAAAAGGTTCAACATACTACAAACTTTAGTAAAATTAATTTTTTCCAAGTTTTTAATCCAGGAACTTTAGATGTTGTAGTTAACACTGAACAAAAAAGAGACATATTTGACAATGTGTTTATAAAATCCTTAGTATGATCATTAGGGATCCTAGAGAATGACTTCTCTATTCAAGTTGCTCAGTTGGTCAAAATGAAAGCAAATATGGGAGAAAAATGACATAGAGATACAATGCAAAAGCACTTCCATTTGTCTCCATATTTGAAAAGTCTGCCTGTGTATTTTGTATTTATCTTTGGTCAGTATGTTGGGCAAAGTGCTTACCTTGCTGCCTTTATTAGTAAGGAAATAACCTTCATATTCCTGTGGTGACCTTACATTAAATTGGGAGGAGTACCAGAGGCTAGAAATGATGACATGTCCTACTTGAGCACAGGTGCAGCTAGGCTGGGCCCTCTCAATATTATTTCACCCAGCACATCTGGGAGTTACTCCAGATCTTCCCCCTCAATATGCAGCCCGGGTAGGGTTGAAATAAATTTAACCTGAGTTCACTGGATTTTTGCACTTTATCAAAATCTGTTCCAATATTCTACACTCAAATTAAAATCTATTTTTTGATTCTCTGTGGCTTTAAGTTCATTAAATGTGAAATTGGCAGCTTGCTAAAGAAGGTCAGACTGATTAACTGTTTAAGACTTGTACATTTTCTGCTTCAGTTTTATTAACTTGCAGCATCACAGATGTGTTTTGTATTTTGTGAGAAAAAATTTTTTTAAGTATAAGGTTTTAGGAGTCAAGAGACCAACTCTCTTTTTCTTCTTTGGAAGGTTAAAAAATGATAGACACTGTTCAAATAGATGCTGGAGTATATATGGTGCAAAGTTTGAAAAAAAAAGAAAAAGGAAAACAGGATCGAAACACATATCTACCTTGTTCTACCATCCGCTAGTGATTATGTGTGTAGAAATAGTTCCATAATGAAGCGTTTTGGAGCTCATTCAGAAAATTAGTCAACTTTGACAACATTAGAAGAAGTATTTCAAGTCTGAAGAAAGAGCTTCTCAGCCTTGTTCTGAAATGTGGCGTTTGCTTGACCATTCTGATTTTTATGTGATGGAGGCCACCAAGTGCAAACATGTTTAGAATATTTTAGGCATTCCTTTCTTCAGAATGAAAAAATGACTAATTGGCTTATTTTCTTAAGTACTCAAAAGTATCCCATTTAGCTAATGTGTCTGAGAAGAATTGCCAGTGAATTTGGTATTTCTTTGATTTTGTGGCACTGCTGAGAGTGAGATCAGAAAGGTTTTTGGCAGTGTGAATTATGCTGCGTTATGATTATTATTTAGATCTGTTTCACAGGTGAATGCATTCGTTTTCTTATTACAATAGTGAAAATGTGGCACATTTTCTGTGTGATGTAGTAGCTTTTAAATTTATGAGGCTATATCTCTGTATTGTATACTTAGGAGTATATCCACATACAAAGGCTGTGTGTGTTTATTCACCTCTTTCATTCTTTGGCACAATAGACTACTTAATCTCTAAGGAAAAAAATAAACAAATTTGGTTTCAATTCATATTTTTGCCATTTGGGGAGGCTAGTTATTATTTAAGTTTTCTTTATGTTGCCTATGTTAACTATTTATTTGACATTCATAGTCTCTATAAACTCACAAGGCAGACACCTGTGTTGTGCGAGTGTGCATGCGTGCGTGCGTGCGTGCGTACGTGTGTGTGTGTGTGTGTGCTGTGTATATGTGTGCATTTTTCTCTAGAGTTGAGCAAATCAGGCAGTTTTCTTGAAATTCATGCTGATTTATCTCATGGATAAAAATTGCTTTCTTGTTGATTATCTCCATATCCTGGTGCATTGTAGGTGCTCACATATTCTGAGTGTTAGCTGGAGAAGACTAAGATTGTTCTGCATAATGTGGTTTGGGGTGGGCTGGGGTTGAGAATGTATATCCCCTTTTCCCTCCTGTCTGGCACTCTAATAATTGTGCTTTTGTTTTTCCAACCACAGCCGAACCTCTTGAAGCCATTCTTACAGATGATGAACCAGACCACGGCCCTTTGGGAGCGCCAGAAGGGGACCATGACCTCCTCACGTGTGGGCAGTGCCAGATGAACTTCCCATTGGGGGACATTCTTATTTTTATCGAGCACAAACGGAAACAATGCAATGGCAGCCTCTGCTTAGAAAAAGCTGTGGATAAGCCACCTTCCCCTTCACCAATCGAGATGAAAAAAGCATCCAATCCCGTGGAGGTTGGCATCCAGGTCACGCCAGAGGATGACGATTGTTTATCAACGTCATCTAGAGGAATTTGCCCCAAACAGGAACACATAGCAGGTAAATGAGAAGCAAGGAGAAAAGCTGTTTGCATGTTTTCTTTTCATTTTTAGAGGTGCTATAGCCAAGCACTAAGGAGTGGTGGAGTGATTTCTGTATTTCTCCCTGTGACTGTCTGTGACAGCCTGTAATGCTAAAATCATCATTCCTCTTATATCCAGAGTACACACACAAATAAATATTTTCCACTTCACTGAGTCAGATGTGGGCGGACTAGGTACACACACCTGATAACCCTCTCTCTGCCTGAGTTGATTCTCTATTCCTTTCCCTTTTCCTCTCCATCTCCCTTTTGGGGTTTGAAACTTACCACACTGCACCCACTTTGTGTTGCCCATTTCTAGCCTTGGTGATGAGTCAAAGGCAAAGTGGCCATGCAGAAGCCTATGTAGTTGGGCTAATGACCCGTTTGGATCAGAATGCCTGTTCTGGCCTCCAGTTAGTTGCCAAGGCTTCTGTGAGGTGGGGTGGGCTGGCAGGGCATTTGGGAGGGGTGGAAAGAGTTAACTGAGCTTCAGGGCTAGCCTTGGATCCATATTGGCTGTCAGCCCTTATGGGGCTGTAATTAAACACAGCCCATGGTGGGATGACACCGTGACCTTGACTTTAAGATGCCATTTTCGACTGGCCAGGCCAGAGTAGAGAGGGCAGTTGCTGAAGCGCACAGACATGCTTACTCGAAAAGTTTAAGGGCATGTTGGAAATTTCAAAAGGTTGGTTTGACAGGAACGGCTGCTCCCTGCAGCCTGCCTCCTCGGCTAAATGATAAATGCTTCTCTGTGCTCTCTCTTGTCTCTGATGTGGTTTTGACAGATGTATCTTGATTTTGTTTGTGGTTTACACAACCACATGTCACCCTTACAAATGTCCAGTCCAGACTTCCACTGTTTCTGCTAACACAATGTAAAAATTCTCTTGGAAAAAAAATACACTCTTCTTCAACAGCTCTCCTTCCTTTGTTAATTTTAGCAGAGAGGTAATAGCTAGGTGTGTGGGTTTCTCAGCAGCCCAGGGGAGAAGGAATTAAAGGCTAACAGAGGGACTTAAATCCCTACTCTCAATGATAAACAGCAGCACTAGATAGTGGCCCTTAAAACATGTTTTTAGGAAAACAATAGTGATTTAACACATAGGACAAAGTGAGTGTAGATTCTGTGATGACAGAAACGGGCATGCCTGTTCATACATCTCCTTCCTCTCCTAATAACAGAGGTTTGTTCACTTTTAGGAAGGACAGGGCCTCTGATCAGTGGACTCTTAGAAACTTGTCTCTTCGACCTAGTTTGACCACAGAGTTGAACTGCTGTAGACCGGTGGTCTGGAGGGAATTAAATGTCATGTATTTCTCTACTCCCCCTCCAGAATTTGAGCATGAAAATCAAACGTGGCGTTTTCTTTCTTTTTAAAAATGCTTTCTACAATAGCACTCAGATACTTTTGCTTTAGTGAAGTGAGAAATCTGCTCCTAGGATGCATTTACAAAATATATTTTTCCTGAACCTACCACCTTTAGCTTATGTGACATATAGGTTAAGATTTTATCTTGTCCCTCCCCACCTACCTCCCAGTAGGAGATGGCAATGACCATTTCCATGTGCTGTTTTGTGACTGGAAGGAAAATGAACAGAAGTGTAAGGCATGATTAATGAAGCAAGAGCAAGCGGAAGGGGGATTTGTCGTCTTCCGAGATCCAAAGCCTTTCTAAATCACCAAATATGGAGTAACACTTGCGTGATGTAACATCGTATTTACATATCGAGCTGCTCGTTTAAAAGACAAAACACAGTGTCTGTCAAGCAAGAATTAAAACCACACTTCTAACTGAGGTCCCAAATAGGTTATTCAGTCTCAGATTAACCGACTCAGAAATTCTGTGCCTCTGTACTTAGTGGAGGAATGTTAAAGCTGGGAAGAAGGCCCTATATATAGTTAAGGCTTTTTACTGCTACATTGTAAATTTATGTAAGGAAAGAAAAGATATTTTCCTTAACTCTGGTTGTCATAAAGATTATACTGTGTTGTTTCTTTCTCTCTTTCTTTCTTTCTTTCTTTCTTTCTTTCTTTCTTTCTTTCTTTCTTTCTTCTAGTACAATAGCCGGGTCCAGGGAAACCAAACAAAGCAAAACAAAACGGCAACTTTAAAATGTTTTATAGGGCTGTCACCAAATAATTTCACTGAGATGAAAAGCTGTCTGAGGTATCTAAGATATTCAATGGGTGCACAGGTGCTGTGACCCAGGTGAGGCAAACCTCTCATGCATGAATAATTGCAAAGTCTTGATTCCTCTCATTGGGTTTAATCACCTGTCCTCACCCTGGAATTGGTGGAACATAAATAGCCTGGTCACATCTCAAAACGAGACATCAGTAACTAGAATCACAACTTCTCATAATTCACAACAATGTAAGAGTTTCCTATAGTGAAATTAACATTCTGCCATTGCACATAAATTAAGATGCTCAGGCTTCTTTGCTGCCTCTGGAGTGAAGTTCTGGAAGTCAGCTCTGCCCTCCCAGCCTGTGGCTCTCAAGCACGTCTTTGCAATTCCAAGTCTGTTTTTCTTTTTATGATGAGGAAGGAAACAATAAGAGTAATCATTCAGTAGATACTTGAATTGTGTCACAGAGAGAAAGGAGAAGCAACGCTCTGTATTAGGAAGGGGATACATTGATGAATCTCTAGAAGAATATGTTTGGCAACCACATAAAAGGTAGCCATTGAAGTGCGCCATGGAGGGAAGTCTTTATTAAAGTGATGTAAGTTGGATTCCGGTTGTCTTGTGTGCTCTGTGCATTTTATAGGCAGGAAGCAGGAATGAAACAGTGACACATTTTCTTCCTGACATAAATAAGGTTTGGAATTTGAGGCTTTCAAATAGAAGAATGAAGTAGAGTTCTTTAAATGATCAGTAAAATGGTGTGCATCTCGACTGTACAAAGGCCTCTCCTAGCTGAGTATTTTTTCGGAAGGTTGATTTTTACCTGTAAATAAGTGTCTACGCTCCATCGCTGCACTCATGTACAAATGCTCAGACCACACCTATCTGTGGATCAGGCTGTTTTTAAATATTTTATTCAAATATTCAAAATATCTTGTGATTGATCCAGTGAGATCTTTGAACTATTATTTTGATTGAAAACGAGCAGATTATACTGTCTGAGGCCCATTTCATCACTGTGTCTGTCAAATATCCACCATGGCCTTTGACTGGCAGTTCCGACATTTAATAAGAACTTTGTTTTTTAGTTACACATTTTATGACAGGAGAAATAATCATGGAAGATCAATGAATGTGAAACTACTGTTCCCTTCTAGAAAATTAAAAAATATATATATATATTATTCTGCAACGTCAAACTTTTTACTTCTTACATATCAAAATCTTTAAATTAGGACCGGGTTGTCATAAAGTTACTTGCTTTTTGAGAGAATTAGAGTAAATATGACAAGTTCTTTAAATATAGTAAAATCTACTACAGTTGATATGCAGCATTTTTCCCCTTTAAAATCATGAACATAGACATATTAGAATATTAAAAAGTTATTTGCTTAGGCAATATGCCTCATAACTAAATAATCATGTGTAAGGCCTCTAAGACAGGTAGTCCAGTAAAGAGAGAATTACCCATTTAAAACAAAACATTAGAATGTTACTTAAAATTAAAGCAAATATAAGACATTTGTGCTTTTCATAATTTAGAAAATCAAATTGCCTGTTCTTTTTTGTACCCTTTCTAATTCCTTTTTAGGTCAGATTGAACTGGAGGATATATTTGTATGCTTTCTAGTATAATTGTAAATGAGACTATAAATTATAGTATGCCATCATAACTACTTATTTTTTTATTTCTCTTTATTTGTGTGATTCTGAATAAAAGCTAACCGGCTTCTAAAGTGAATTTTTAGCATGGCAGTTAAAAGGAACAACTACCAACATCCTATCCCCTGAAGCCCCCCACCCCCATCAGCTCATATAGTGGTGAATATTTTACTTACTTTCAGAATCCAGAGAACAGGGAATAGTGTTTCCTAAGATTTTCTTAGGGAGCCTATGTTTGTGAGGCCACTACCCAAAGATTCATGTTCAGGAGACTGGGAGTCCTATATACAAGCTGTATTTGTAAATAAGACACAGAAAGGTTGTGAACTGGCAGCTTGGATGTTTTGTCAAAGTACAATGTCAGAGAAACTCTTTCTAAGACAAATTGTAAATAGAACTGTCACAGTGATTGCATGATTGAGCCGCAGAAGTGTCTTACAATTGTTGGCATTGTCAGAGGACTTTTGAAAGCTTAATTAAACACAGTGGCCCGCATGGCTGCTAAATTTACTTCGGGAAGCCAAAAAGAAAAAAAAATCTAAAATGTGGAAGGTTCCCCAGATCCCAAAATTCCTCAGACATTACTCTTTCTGTGCCACGGAAAAGATCCATTTTGCATTTTCCTGGTTATCTTTTATAAATCATAGTTTTGAGAATAGGTTCACGTGATATGAAGATCATCCTGTGTGTGATGTGGAGATTGTGTTAGTTTTTCTGTCTCCTGCTGTTACGGACAGTTAATGTAAAAATGGCCTTTTATTGGAAACACAAATATGTATTCACTTCAAGAACAGGAGCAGAGGGGAAAGTTTCCCTCCCATTCTCTCTGTTTATTCCGTGAAAGCTTGAAGAAAAAAAAACCACCAAAGCACTGTGCTACAATTTCTTGAGTCACCCCATTCCTTGTTATGTTGCAAGGTGTGCCTTTTATTTTGAAGGATCTGGAATCTGTTTTGCACACCTTTCTCCTAGTGAATGTGGCATTTAATTGTGGAGCTGCCCATGGGCTGGAAAATGCAATTGGGTGTAGAAACGAGCAGGCAATGTCAGGACAACAAACCTCAAGCTAAGGGAAGAAGCGAGTTGGATGCATATTAATGGCACATTTTAGAGTCCTGGAAAATCATTAATTTCACTATGCAACCTCAGCGTAGTTTGGCTAATGTGGGAGGACTAAAT